ATGTGAAGATCTTTTTTATATAAAATATATTTCACACATTTTTACATTAATTAACATAATTTTATAAATAAATACCTACGATTAGCTACATAATTAAAGCACTTAGTGATTCTTAACGATTTCAATGGTTTTTTGCACTGCAATAATAAAATGTCCATAACTTACATAATTGATAAAACAATGTACAATTTTATTAGTAATATTTAAACTATTAATATTAACTGAGAAGAGCTGTTAAAGCATCTAGAAATTTAGTTCGGTCAGAGTATTTAATTTTAACTATTGAAGTATCAAAAAAGTCTGAGAATGCTAATATTTGTGATTTGTGAGCTGCTTGTTCAAATGCCTTTCCAAAGAAACTGAAATTTCGAAAATACATATTTAAAGACTGTTTGAGTAATATGACATAATTATACTAACTTTTTAGGGGAATCTTCACATACAGGTGGCAATCCCACCATTAAACACATTCCGTAAAGTTCCATTTCTTGAGAAGACATTGCCTAAAATTATTGTGTGATAACTAAAATGCTTTTTCTAAATTAAAATATGTTTTAAATTTTGCTACCTTTAGTTCATTATCAGTCCTCTGTCCCATTGCAGTGTCATGTAATTGCAAAGGAGCACAAGCTATTAATGGAAGTGCATTTGCCCTCCTACTTCTTGAAACAGCTACATGCCCTCGCAATGCAAATTGTGCTAACATTATAAGACCATAAGGATTCGAAAAATAAGGACTTTCCTGTAATATTTTATATTAAAAGTATAAGGTGATTATATTTTGAAATAATGGGAATATGTTGCAAACTCCTTACCTCATCCAGGATTAAGTAAAGAAAAGGACCAGCAGACATAACTTGATGTGTTTCAAGAGTAGTTTGTGTCTGCCTAAATATAACTGTAAGCATTTTTTTGGCTTGCTCAATACCATTTTCTAATAAACCACGTTGACTTCTTGAAAGGCAATCCATAGCATCAAGAAAACATGTTTCTCTACTGCGTTCTTTGGACTAAAAACATATGATTAATAAATCATAGAGCTACAATAAAATACATATTTGGAGCAATATTTACAGTTGATTCCAAATTGACAACATTGTATATACTATATCACTAGCACAGTACTTATTTCTATATCCATATTGCATAGTGAATGATGCATAAACTAAATCTTTGAGATCATATTTTTCAGCAAGTTTTTCTATCATGGAGTGAAACTCCTTTCTTAAAGTTAAATCCATTGATGAAAATGTTTGCCTTGCTTGCACTAATGGCAACCTAAAATACACAACTGCTAATAAATATTTTAATAAATTTTTTTGTAAATTATATTAAAACTTTACCCCATTTCAGCAAGAAGTTCTTGCATTTTTTTTTCGCCTCTTAATGTCCATAACTTTAATTTACAAGCTGTATAAATTGAATGTCTTAAAGACGCTTCCACACTCCAATGTCTATAAAGAGCAAGTCTGAGATCACGTTCAAATGAAATTTTCAATGAACTTTGCATCTGTAAGAATTTAATATTTATATATAAAATATATATTATTTTATGACAAACGATATATCTATTAATTAACTTAAATACCTGCTGATCATTGGCTCTATGAATTAATCTAGAAACATGTGAATGTAATACTTCAGTATCAAGAGTATATTGTGACGTTTCTACTTTATCCATTATTATTAATTGTTCAGTTGCACCAATAATTGCCCACCATAATAATTCCATTGAGTCTTTAGAAAGCTTCCAAGCTAATTCAAATAATATGATAGCACTCTAAAAAAATTTTCAATTATAAATAAACTATAAATCATATATTTTATAGCTGAAAATTTATGTATTTATTACTATTAAAGATGCTTTTTTTGGTCTACTTACAGAAGGTCCATAATAACTGAACTGGTATAATCAAACATGATTTTATTTCGTTTCTCCTCCCATAATCTTTTTTCACGTCTTTTTAAAATTCTTTGTTCAGCTAGCTCAGTTCTGGACATGCCTTCCTCAGACTCAGAATCATCATCATTCTGATCATCTTCATCTGACTAAAAAAATTAATATTAAAAAAAATGTAAATATGTTTGATCTTAACATATATAAATAAAAACCTCATCATCACGAAATATTTCCTCGAATGCAGGAATATTACTTTCAGGTTTCCCCAATATTCTAATCTGTCCACTACTGTAAATATTACAAATGTCTATCGGTCTGTGAGAATCCAAAATATACACAATGACATCATCTGGCAGTTGCAAAAGATCAACAATATCAACAGATCCTCCACAATTTAGAAGAATTATATATTTAATTTCATCACAGTTTTCAGCATATGCTCTTTTAAGATCCTCTATTCCCTGCATCAAAGTTATTAATTATAAGGCTCAAAAACAAAACAACATAGCACATTATTTGACATACCAATACAGGGCATAACGTGTACAATGTATTATCATATTTGAACAAAGTTTGCAAAATTTTACAAGCACAAATGGCATCTACATCGTAATTCACAATCAATAAAATTCTCTAAAATAGAAAATAAATTTTAGTCGGATATAAACACAAGTAACCTTCAGCATGGATCAGTTTAGACGCAATCGCTACCTTTCCTATGAGTGACTTATAAAAATCTTGTATGATATTTTGAGTATACATTCTTTATTTAATATATACTCCTATAGGAACTGTACTAATTGTTAACATGTTTTTTAAACTTATATGATTCAACATAAACACAGCGCGCGAAAGTTCGACATTCTTGAAGGTATCAGGTTGTTGATCATTTGATGCCAGGATCCATAGATATGCAGGTGCTGTTTAAATAGATTACCTACTATGTTCGTTCCAAAAATAATGTTATATTTCACTGTTATTTTCAGTTCTTCGCGTTTAATAAAATATTACACTATTACACTAACAAAATAAAGAATTGGATTTACATTAAACTAATAATGTATAAATTTTATATTTGATTTGCACTCGTTAAGACTTGGTAAGCATAGCTCATCTACAAAGGTGTTTACCAAATTCTTGTCTATGGTCGCGTCAAATTGCTTCAGTTGTTGTCAAAAAGTTAGCATGTAAATCCTAACCTTCAAATGTGACGCGATGATGAGAATCAAGTTATCAACATTGTGCAACTTCTATAACGTACTAAACGTGAAAAAAATACCCATAAACAAGACTATTAAAACACGATCACTTTTTACAAATTCAATAAATTATGAATTATCAAAACCAAATGAATCTACTGTCATCGTACCTGCCGTAAATAATCCAACTAAAGGGCAAGAAGCGGCTGTAGTAACTACACATTCAGTGAAAAAGAGACCACTTAGACGAAGATGTGTTGTGATGAGTACTGAAGGTACTCATATGGTTACAGCATTTGCTACAGCAGAGCAATATGATCTAGAAAAATTAATTGATGGATTGAAGAAGCAAAACTTATATGAAGCTCAAAGGTAATGGCATTTTATAAAAGCATTTATAACCTTTTTGTATATGCTAACATTTTATACAGATTTTTATCTTCTGCGAACTATGCTTGTTCTCCTGATGTAATTCATGCAACTGCTAAATTTCAAGTTGGTAATGAACCCCGCAATATATTCTTTTTTCGAGAAGGTTGTATGGTATTATGGAATGTAACTGACCTCGAAAGCAGTAATTTGATGTCCTTTATAAAAGAATTTGAAGAAGACAGTTATAGTGATGCTATGGTTGAAGAAGAATCTGAACAAATGACTTATTACACATCTGACAAAGGGGTAAATTGCTTATAATTGGAAACTTTTGCTTCGTCTTTATTACTTCTACTGCAATAATCTCTTTTTTAGGGTAGAGCTCAAATAAAAGATAATATGTTCGTCTTATCTAATAGCAATCCTGAAGAAACACTTCTTGAAAAATATACATATTCAAATGCAATGGCGCTATCTGTGAAATTGGGTATTTGGGAAGCATCACTTGACCAATATATAGGATCAATAGATCATTTAACATGGGACTTGAAACGAGGGAAAAAAATAAGGTATTATACATATACTTGTTTATAGCATATGTATATTATTTCACTATGTATAATTATTCATTGATATTATTTATTATTTAGATTAACACGGGATGAAATGTTACGTAAAACTGGAGAATTATTTGCTTTAAGACATACAATGAATTTGCGATCAGATTTGTTGGATGTACCAGATTTTTATTGGGATCGAGATCAAATGGAAAGATTATACACACAAACTTCTAACTATTTCAGCATATCAAAACGAACAAAGGTAAGTGAAAATGATTTTTATGACTTTGTAAAGATATTTTCAGAATTATTTTGATGATGCAAACTATAAACAATTCTTAAGACTGGGGCTCCAGTTAAAATGAAACAGATACAGCTGATAAGCTGATCAACAAATTTCTTTATAAATGCTGAAGGCTAAAAAGTAACAGTTTTGTTAAAGAGTATACTGTTATAGCATTATTAGAATTTTCATAGTTTTTGAATTTGGGTTCTATGACTTGTTGTTTCTTCATAACTTACCTGGTGAAATGTTTCTATAAATATTTAAATAATCTTAAATTTAATACTTCAAAATTATATTTCTTTGGAGTTTTTTTGCTTGCAACAGTTTTTTTTGACTGGTAAAACTTGATTACAATGGTTATTTTAAACCTCATCAAATTCTTTAGCAAATTTAAAATGCTGATAAGTTTACTACATTGGTTTCAAAATTAACAGAATTAGAATTTTTGTTAGAGGATGATTTCGGCAGGCATTGAGTTTTGTATTGTGTTTTTAGGTTCAGAATGAAAAATTAAATCATTGTGTAGAACTAGCTGATTTAATTTCTTCACATCTAAATGATAGACATCATATTAGATTGGAGTGGATGGTAATTGTATTGATCTTGGTAGAAGTACTTTTTGAAGTTCTTCATTATGCTGATCGAATTATTGGCTGAGTTTTTTATAAAATTATTTGTTCTTGTGATTAATATTTTGTAAGACTAAAAAGAGACTTTATATATACTTTTATGAAATATATTTTATTATTTAAATAATAAAATACTTGTAAATAATTGTGCATTAACCAAAAGAAGTAAGGTCTCTCAAAATTTGGCCCATAGCTTTAGGATTGTCACTAGGCACCTGTAATATAAAATAAAATCAATTATTTATCTAAAACAAAGTATTATTTGTATATAAAAATGTTTACCATATGGCCTGATCTATTTATCCAGTATAAATCAAAACGACCATACTTCTTTTGGTAACCTTCAACAATACTTTTAACCACCAATGGTTCACGATCAGAGTTCTGCCATTGCTCTGTTCTGGCCAACGCAAATGCGAGACCCATTCAATTGTTCCTGAGATATACTACATTTCAGTAATTGTATTGCATTTTAATCAACGTGATTTGAATAATATTTTTGTACCTGGCGTGTCCACAATTAAATCCAGTTGACCAGTGAAAACAACAACTTGAACATTCGTCTTGTTTAATAGCAACTCCACTAAAATATAATACAATGAATAGAAAATATTTTAATTGAATTTTGTTTTTGATGTCTTACCCATCTCTGTGCAGGGTTTCATAAAGTCTCCACTAAGGGTGTTAAATGTATAACCGCTTTGACCACCCCAGACAACATGTTGCGGAATTTGCAAAGTCTTTTTAACAAGACCATTCATAAGAAAGTCCAATGGATCGGCTCTAGTATGTCCTCTGTTTACCATTAATTCATAGAGACCAGCTTCATAGATAACAAACAATCACGATGAATAAGAATAAAATACTATTTTATTTGCAGTGACGCAATATTTGATACCTTTAGGATTTTCTTTCAAGGCTTTATGCAATTTCTTGTTTCTGAACCCATAAACTTCTAATAATATGTTATAAAAGTCGACCCCGTAGGAATAGTCCGAGATTACGCCTTCAGTGCGTCCCCAAGCATCTGTTGCTCCTTCATAACTTAAATGACGAAACATATATTTAATAAAGTTACCTAATATTTATGAATAAAGGTGAAAATATCCAAACTGCTTACTCTCCATTGTCGAATGCAATTTGTGTTTGCTTTGCTGCTGCCATCACAGCGTCATAGCCCTCCTGATCCAAAATTCCCTGAAATCATATGATTAAGATTATTATTATTATTTTGTTCTGCATATTTGTAAATATAGAATAAGGATACATTTCTCAAATGAATATATAATGAGGATACATCACTCGACTTACGTTATTCATTAGGTAAGGTGCCCAAGTCCATACGGAATCCATGGGTGATATCCAGGAGTCGCCCATAGCTACACCTTTCAAATTGCATTCAATTTTTCCGGCTTGAATTTCCTAATAATTAAATTAAGAACATGATTAGGCATTAAAAAATGGTTATATCAAAAGATTGGTAGTTTTATGGATTTTATGTCTAATTATTAATTTTGTTACCTTATATAATTCATATACAAATTCTGCTGCCATTTTTCCTCCATATGATTCTGCTACGACGTAGAAGGGAACTTTTTGGTATTGAGGCTGGGCTTTATAAAATCCATGCATAAGTTGAATCAAGTCTAATGCTATTTCCCGATTATTTTTGGTCAATTGTGATGTTTTTTCTACATAACTGAAGCCAGTTCCAACTGGATTGTCTATGAAGAGGACATTCACTTCTTTCACCTGCCGAATAATAAATAATATTAATTACATGTGGTATAGACGAAATACGTGTATTGTCATTTTGGTGATTACATTGGAATATAGAAAACCAAAAATTAGAACATTTCTTATCTCTCTTTGTTATTGATATGTTTCTCCTTATTACTTTTCTGATAGCATAAGCATTATACTTATTGATGTTTATATGTTACGATTTCAAATATACATTTAGCAAGTGGGATGGTCATTTTGATATTATGTTTTTGTTTGTGTCACTCTTCACTTAGATTTATCTGTTTTTAAATTATGATTATGCTTATCTCGCAGAAAAAAGTTTTTTAATCCAGATAATATTTAACCTAATGGGAAAACCGATGGTTTTTATCAATATCATGATAAGGTAAACCTTGGATTTGTTCCTTTTTCACATGATATTTGACAACTTGAGAGGTGATGCAACAAAATCTTTAATATTGCTACCGTTTTATAAAATTTAATCACCATAAGCCATTTATTACAAAATTCGTAACATTCTGATTACACAAATGAGATCAAATTTATATTCTTGCAATACCCATACATTAATTATATTTACATAGAAAATTTGAAAAAATATATACCCATGTAAAATTGCGTTCGTTGAGATTCACATCAACTGGTCCCAGTTCCTCAAAGTTTCCATAACCAGTTGAACTGGCTCCTGGTCCTCCTTGAAGCCAGACTACAAGGGGTCTTTCTGTGGGGTCGGAAACAGGGGCTGTTGTGTGGTACAACCACCAGAACATATGGGCTCCTTCTCGGACAGTCACATAGCCCCAATCCTGGTCTCCTGGGCCAACACCTTGTTTACCTGATGAAAGTTACAAATTTAAAAAATTAGAATTAATAGAAATTATTAAGTATTTAAATTGGTTTTCTTTACTATTTAATTTATGAAAAATTAATCACCATTAACTATGTAATTATTCAAAATAAAAATAGATAATCTATCATTTTGCTTCATACTGAATTGTAATAGGTCTCAGTTTTGACCATTATTAACGAAATCCCAAATTTTAGTAATTAATATTTATTTTCACTTTGAAATTATTTATTTCACTGGTTGTACGAGTTTATTAAAAGGATTTTCATTTTATTTGCTGGTAAATAACGGAATTCTTATTATTTTTCTACTTTCATACTAACGTGAATTAATTTGACAAAATACAGTTGTCGAGAGGCATAGTGCCAAAATGATTAATTTTATCATTTTTAATCGAACTAGAATAATTCAACTGATTCATTATTCTGAAACAAAAGCTTATATACAACAAAGCATATTGATAACGGCAAATATTAATCTGGAGATATATACGATATGATTTTAAACAACTTTAGAGATGTAAGATTTTAGGAGTTATCAAAATATTTTATACAGTGGCGTATCAGTAAAATATTGGAAATATACAATTAATATTAATAATAAAAACTACTATAATTCATAAAAACAAATTTTATTAACATTTTAAAAATATCGTCATTGCTAAACATTCATTTTCTATCCATACGAAGTAAGATCTCTCAAGATCTTTCCCATAGCAGCAGGATTATCATTTGGCACCTGCAAAATTAAATAAGATATTTAATATCATAATTCTGGTGTTTTATTTCTTAGTCAATTTACCATATGTCCTGATCTGTTAATCCAATAAAGGCTAAATCGTCCGTATTTTTGATAATAACCTTCCACAATCGATTTTACCGTCAAAGGATATCTAATTGATTCCGACCACTCTTCTTTTTCGGGCCAACGCAATCTGGATACCCATTTTATAGTTCCTAAAAATTAATACTTCTGTTTCATATTAAAAATGCAGATAAATTAACCTGAACATGGGCAAAAAATATAAATATGATATATTTATCTTAAGAAGTTTAATCAAAGATTTCATTTTTTATACCTGGTGTATTAACAATTAAATCCAATTGGCCTGTGAATACCATAACTTCCAGGTCGGTTTTGTTAAGCAAATTTTCAACTGTAACAAAATAATAAACAAATATTAAAATAATAATAATAAATTTTGAGATTTTTTTACTCTCATGCATTATTATCTCTTTAGTATCTTTTTTTCAGAATTCTTTATATTATGTATGTCCAACAAATTCTTTGTATAAGTTCTCAAAATTTTCTAATTGAATTATACTAACCCATTTCAATGCAAGGTTTCATAAAGTCTCCTTTCAAAACTTGAAAGGTTTGACTACTCTGTTGTCCCCACCTCACATCTTTGGGTATGTCGAGGACTTCTGCAACTAATCCATTCATTAAGGTATTTAAAGGATCAGCAGCCCGTCGTCCGTAGTTAGCCATTAACTCGAAAAGACCATCTATAATAATTAAATACATTTAAATTGAAGATTTTATGGTTTTTCTATAATCATCACAAATTTCCTTTGAACCAAGATTAATATTAGCAATTTATTTTGCACGAAGATATTTCTGCACATTTTTTAATAAATAATGTATATTTATTTTACATGAATCGTAGTAATTTACAAACATTGTTTCAACTTAGTTTAAGTCTTATTATATAATTCTTGAATATTTTATAATTCCAATTTTCAACTATTACC